AAAAATATGTATCACTTCCCGATCAGCCCGAGAGATTTTAGGCGACAGGCTGAAAATGCAGAATTGCATTATTTGGGAATTTGTATTAGTTTGAATTACAGTTTGAATTAACTCTGCCGGTTATTGCACTGTTTTGTCTCTAATTGATTAATATATACGTTTTTTAATGTGAATTGCATGTTTAATTACTCGTCTTACTGATTACAACGTATTAAGTAAATACCTAAAAAGTGGGCAGTGACTTGTTGATTGATATGATGATTTAGAGGGACCATGCATCATCAGAGGACTTCCCCAGGTAAAGTTTTTCGAATTCGAATCATTTCTAGATAAATTGTGTACTCGTATAGTGAAAAAGTAAAGCAACCTGTTACAGAGATTTCATTTTGTTTTATTTTTATAGGATGGGTAGAAAAACAAAATTTTACCATACAGAGTAAAATATAAGACAAAATATCCTCGGTCGCTTTGATAAAAATTTACTGTTATCGAAAAAAACGGCGTCCAGTTGGCTTGAAAATGACGATCGATGACATTTCCCATATAATTTTACATATAAAATGACAGCGATCTTGATTTCATAGACATCTCTGACGCCGTTTTTATTCGATCATACGGTATAATACTGCGAATTATATTACATAAGGCAACTGCTAAAAATTTAGAAATATTTTAAATACAAAAATGTGCGCTTTTTAAGTCTGTAGGTATCGAAAATACTAAAAATAATATACAGTGTGTATTGCATTAAAAAAAATTGAGATATAGCATTATAATATTGCAATGTTGGCCGTGCCATAATAAAATTCCTGTATAAAATAATTTTTCTCGGATTTCTTCTTTTGTTCTACATACCTCGCTATATGCATACTTAAGCAATAATATATCAATAAGTTAAATTCACTCCCGGTTTTTACCACTTTTTAAAAAATGAAAATTTTCAAATATGAATTATCATGGAAATCCCGCATATATAGTGCTTCAAATAAATCAATAGTGTGATGTATGTTGAATTTTATGCTGAACCCGATCCTTATATGTTTATATAATTCAAGAAATTGGAACTACGGTAATCGCAAAACAATTTCCGATACACGTGATCAACTTTGAGTGACAAAAGCGATTGCGACAGCGCTGCCAGATTGTGATGGATTTATGAGATGAATCTTAATTTAAAATTGACAAACAATATATTTATCATATCACTTTTTAAAGAGTTTTACGTTTTATTTTTAATTTAATAACTAATATTTTAGTAATTAATTGATTTATTTGTTTTATAACTTATTTTACTTATTACATATTGGCAAAAACTATTCCATTATGAAGATTATTCTAAACGTTATTATGGGTTATTTATTTATTGATGTACAGGGTGTCCCATTTTGGTTGAAATCATAGGGTATCTCCGTTATTAGTGAAGATAGAAGGGTGCGGTTTGCACAAATCTGTCCCACTTTTTCGTCAAACTGAAGATGCTGCAAACAAAATTTTCATAGCCCTCTTCATTTCTGAGCTACAGGGTCTGTTCAAAAATTTTGCAATTTGGTTCAAAAATTTTGCAATTGTTATTGTTAAAGGTATCGAGAAGGCGAAAACTGCTTATTGTAGAACTTTTTACGTACAATACAGTGGCGTAGTCTGTTTTTCTACAAAAAAAATATTTTTGAAAATATGAACTAAAGTTATGTTTTTTCAAATGGAACACCCTGTATATTTATAAATCATATGATCTGTCTTGCTACGAGCTTCTCAAAAATATATATCACTCTATATTTATTTTCACTATTTACTGCAATATTTAAAATATATCATTTTCGTATTAGTAGGCCGTGATAAATAACAAAAAATCAAAATGGTATTTACTAAAATAGTCATACACATATTAAAATTTATTTGGGATTGATATATTTTACTTTTGAAATAACTGTTATAGTCTATAAAATGAATAACTTTGAATTTTGACCGTTATTTTTTACCAACATGGCAAATATAAAATCCCTCTGTCAAAAAAGTTACTGATATTCTTTAAGTATTCTTTAAATTGAGTGCCTGAACGAATCAGATAGGTAACTCTTTTTACTTTCGTGTAATAGAAAAGGAAAATAATAAAACAAGTGACAGTTCTTCCTCTTCTTGCAAAAATCAACTCAAAATGGCATAATTGTCAAAGGTAAAATGTCATCAGCTTTTGACATTTCTAAATATCAGACCAATGCCGTCTCTAATAGAACAGCCTCGAGCGAGATTTATGACGTCACGCTAATTAGATACGGATTAATAAATATGTTATAGAATACATGGAAAACATAATTATTCCTCGTATTTTTGGTTTGTATTTTAAAAATGATATAGTTTACATGAAATATACATAATATACAGTTAATAAATATAATATATACCTATTTATAGTAATAAATACTTTGGCAAATAAACTATGAACCATACAAATGCAGCAAATGTTTTACAATATACAAATAATGAATAGGTACATAAGATAATAGGTAAAATGTAAAATATATTTTAAATTTTGGGGTTTGAAAATCGATCTAATTTAACAAAAAACATTCTATATATACTAATAGTGATGTATTATTATTTGCATTCACAAAATTTATATGTACATATATTTTGCAAGTATCAATGTTCGAAAAATTATATTTGCAAATAATACAATATCATAGAAAAAAATGCGTCAGCGATAGCTATGAAATAAAGATCGCTGTCATTTTATAATGTAAAATTATTCTAAAATTTTTGATTTTCATGGGATTTAGGTTCGGGAAAAACGCTGATTAAGTTTTCATTTGGTTTTTCATTATTTTTTTGGTTAAAAAAAACGTTTCGGCTAACATTATAGCCTTAATCAATGTTGTGTCATATAAAAAAAATAGTGTCGAATATAATCCAAAAAATTGCATATAAAATATTCACACCACACACCACATAATGTTTACTGCAATTAATAAACTAATATACACTTGTCAAAATATGACCACATATTTTTTAAAATTATTATTCTTAACACTAAAACTATCTACATTGACTATGGAGTACGATTTCAGCCATAGTCAAATATAAGGAATAATTATGTTAGCGTGACATCATAAATCTCGCTCCGAGGCTGTTCTATTAGAGACGGCATTGCGTCAGCATGGCCGCAAGTTGCTAACCTAATAAAATTAACACTAGAAAAGCCCGCGGGAACTGTCAAATTCAAAGTTATTCGTTTCACAGACTATACCACTGAAACTGTGAATATATTTTTCTTTTTTTTATAACGGGATGGATTTGCAAATATCTAAATCTTGAATTATTAAAGCATTTTTCAGGTGTTCGACATTGTTGTAGTGCCCACGATATATTTCGTATTTCAAAAATCCCCAAAATCAGAAATCGAGAACGGCGAAATCCAAGAATGGAGGAGGCTATCAATATGCGTTCATTGGTTCTGTAATGTTAAAATAAATATAGAGTGATATATATTTTTGAGAAGCTTATGGCAAGACAGATCATATGATTTATAAATATACAGGGTGTTCCATTTAAAAAAACATAACTTTAGTTCATATTTTCAAAAATATTTTTTTGGTAGAAAAACAGACTACGCCACTGTATTCTAAGTAAAAAGTTCTACAATAAACAGTTTTCACCTTCTCGATAGCTTTAACAATAACAGAGATACAGGAGGTGTCCCAAATTGCAACATTTTCAAAAAGACCCTGTAGCTCGGAAACGAAGAGGGCTATGAAAATTTTGTTTACGGCATCTTCCGTTTGACAAAAAAGTGAGACAGGTTTGTGCAAACCGCACCCTTCTATCTTCACTAATAACGGAGATACCTTATCATTTCAACCAAAATGGGACACCCTGTACATCTTACAACGCCATAAGTTTTAATAAAAAGTAAGAGGGTGCTTTAATGCACAAACTAATAATCACAGAGTTTAATAAAAAACTAACTTTGAAAGTGGTATAATGTGCTTATCAACCAAATTTACTTCTCTGACTGTAGTCAAGGGTAATAAAGGACCTTTATATTACAAGTTCTCGTTCAAAATAGTTTATCAGGGAAGCTACAAACTCTTTGCTTCGACTGTTTAAATGCTTCGACATATTTTCAACACACCATTTCAAGAAATGCAATACAAAAACTCGAAGATTTAGTTCATAAAAGAACTGTTTCTGCTTAAAAGTGCATTTTTTAAAAAAAACACTATGAAAATAGGCAAAAACGACAGTTACTCACGAAGATTGAACAACAACACGATATTTTACAAAATAATAACTGACAATAAATTGTCAAAATAATAAAGGACAACATTGCTGGACACGGTGCAATGTGATCAACATAGCGATAGTAAAATTTGGTTTAAACTAATTTTTGCAGCTTTAATCTAAATAAAATATATGTTACAGTCATTTGTCTATAAAGTAAAATAAAGAGCTGCTCGGTATCTTAAATTATACAACAAATTTAAACATTTTTGTCAAAATTTCATTTAGTCAGGTTTATAGACTTTAGTGTCAATGTCGATATGATTGATGACGTGCATCGGAAAATGTTTTGCGATTACAATATGTTTATCTTCTAATATAAATAGTTGCAAATGATTAATTTATATTATTATCAACAGATAGTATCCCATTTCCCATTACCCCACTCTTGGGGAAAATCCTTACAGCGCTTTCAGATGGAGCGGAACGTCCATTCGAGCAAGTACCATGAGCTTATATGAACAATTTCACATGAGTCGTGTATGCTCCGTCCGGATGACGGCCATATACATAAACACATTAATATAAAAACACGCGGACGGTCCATCTGAAAGCGCTGTTAAAGTGGCAATGCCACCCGGACCGCTCTGGCTCAGTCCGACCCTGGTCTAGCCTCATTTCACCTAAAAGTCAATCAGTTATTCTTGTTTATTTACAATACTAGTTTTTAAATATGTAAAAACAAAAAAAAATATAATACTTTACATTTATTTCATATTTAGATTCTCCAATTCTTATCCATGTTCACGGAGGATATTACCAAGAGGAGAGAATTTCACACTCTAGCCACGCTTTTATCGCCAATGCCTTGTACAAGAATCATATAAAAACTATAACAATAGGCTATGAGCTATGTCCGAAGAAAGAAGTTACTGAAATTTTGACAGACTTGTCTGCTGGAATAAAAGAATGTATAAAATATGGACTAAGCTGTAAGACACGGTAACTATATTATTCTGTACTCATATCATTATTTCATATCAATTAAACTTTTAGTTACGTAATCGAGGACGCGATTTTTAAAATAATTATTGCCAACTATGGACATATAGGGCGCCGGGCTGACCAACTGGAATTTAAATTTCGCGCTGGGGATTCAGGTGGTAGTTCTGCTGTAAAAATATCTCAAGTGCCGGCATTTATTTATTTATTTCCTGACATTGTCACAGCTTACAGAATAATATAGCTTGGACACTCGCCAATTTTTCCCACGCTCGAATTTAAAACGCCCCACTCCGACGATGCTTAACTGAATTAAGCGAGCGACAGTCAGCCTCATTCAGTCGATGCATAACCTCCACCGGTGACGTGTAGGGCCGTATTATTGAAGATTTTAATCTTTTTCTTATATTTAGAGCCAAAACATAAAGACCACTTACTTTTTGAGGCTTCAATGCCAAGGACCATTTTTACATTTAGTGTCCCCTTTTCATTGCAAGGCCATTTTTATAAGCTTTGTATCAACAACTATCTAAGTGTATGTACTATGTGTATGTTTGTTTGGGCCAAATCTTGTAAGCCAAATTAGAACCACTTCCTTTTATTGTAAGAGATTGAAATTTGGCATGTAGGTTCAGACCCAATGACAATACATTTTCTTGACAGCTGTCAAATTTGACAGCTGTCAAAACAAGGGGTCATAGGTTTTGATTTTTTAAAATTCTATTTATGAATGGATCGGGCTAAAATTATATATATAGGTATTAGGCCAGTGAATAAAGGGGGTGTAGAGTGCGTGAGCAGGGACCTAAGCGATTTCTCCAGAAACTCGTTCAGGGTGCTTAGAAAGTAAACATACTAAAAGTCCTGACGTCTAGGTGGTGAGCCGGACGGGTGGGGGGTGGTGGAGGAAGGCAAACGCAAGAAGAGTTCCATTTTTCATTTTTCCGCTTATATCTCCAAAACGGTGTATTGTACGAGCTTTTTTCTAATAAGAATTAAAGTTTATGAAATTCTCTACAACTTTCTCATGTATATACCTTTTTCGAATTCGCAATCCTTTACTATCTACACGCTCGAGAAAAGTGAAAATTAAGAAAAAAAAATGTTTAACCTCAAATTTTTTTCATCATACCGTTTAAACTATTCACCTCACAAAAAAAGTGTTCTTTAGAAAGTTGTAGAGAATTTAATTAATTAAGACATATATGTATATATATATATGCAACTATATCTTTGAACCGGTCAACAGTTACATCAATTGCGTAAACTTTTTTCATAAAATTTTGTCTTTTTCAGAAGAAGTTGTGTTTGTTATTCCTGAGCCACAACTATCGCTTGTATGCAGTGATATGTGTTGCTACACGTCAAAGGGAATGTTAATGCAAAAAAACAAAAAATATTATCAAAATTATTTTAGATTCAAATTTTCATTTTCTTCGGGCGTGAGGGTCATGGCAAGGGTTCTGCATCTAAATAATTTTCGTCCGCAAGTATCGGTACTTCTGGCTCATCGTCTTCATCTTCCTCTTCGCCATAAATAGGTACTCCGTTAAGGCAATTTCCTTGGCAGTGGAGGCACGCCGCAGAGCAGTTAAGCATTGCTTTACGACATCCACATTTTCCACTAGCACAATCCTTGGTACAGCGGCAAAATATCGTTTTCAGTAGGACCTCCGGTGCTGGTGGATCTTCCGTTATAATTGGCACCAGTGTATCACCTAGGCGTTTCCAACCCCATTCTTGAGGGGGCAACTCGTTCCCGAGCCACTGCTGAACTTGGAGGTAGGTGCGCCGGGAATGCTGCTTAGCTGCGCCCTCAGTTGGTGGGAGGGAGCTGATATCAGGCTTAATATTTGCCACTGACCTCATGAATGACTGGAAGCGGTATTGGTTGAGGGAGGTCTGATTTGCTGGTGCCCCGTACCATTTGAGAAAGCACATCTTTCCAGCCTCTTCAACCTCGGCGTGAGTGGAAGAGGGGTTGTAAAAGGCAACTGCCGCTTTCTTAACGATTTCTGACTTTAAGTACAATTTTGAAAAGCCTACTTTGCTTTTTCTTAAAGTTGAGGATGTTGTGTCGCAGCCGGTAAATGAATGTAAGAACAGAATATGTTCAAATCCACTCTGCTGCATCTTTTGGGAGGACAGTACTATTGTTTTAGTTTTTCCGCGGCCGGGTTTTAACAGCAGGATGTCTTTGGTGGGAGGAGTGGATGCTATCAAAAGAACAGCGAGGTCTACATCTTCACCAACAACAGTCACAGAACTGTAAGTGGATTGTTCGATAGCAGTTTTTATGATAAGGACGTCAGCATCATCGGTGGCCTCCAGAGTATGTATCCCATACTCCTGAAGTTTTGTCTGTAGTAAGGAAATTAACTGACTTTTGTTAGTCGGATTGGACAAAAAATCTTCTTGTTTCATAGGTATCGATGTGTTCCATGTCAAATTTATGTCAGCCGACCTCTTCAGCCTATATCGTCGTTTCTGTTCTTGTAATTTCGTACTGTTGGTTGAGTTCGAGTACCCATCAAATACTACAGTGCGTCTGGTTCCAGGATAATGGTGATTGACGTAGGTGATATATCCATTACAAATGGTGGCAACGGAGGCATCTTTTTGCCAAATTACTCTATGCAGCAGGAATCCTCCGTCCACTACTATGTTCATATGAGACAGTTGAACAGCATTGTCGGTAGGCTCGAACATCGTGTAAAGGACAGATTTTACTGTCTTCCTCATCCCACTTTCGTTAAACAATGCCAAGGGAAATGGGGCCAACTCAAACTCCAAGAATTTCATTAAATCCTCATCTGATCGTTTGCTTATACACATCCGCTGAAATAGCAATGTTGGGTCAACTGCAACCTTTTCATCGTGAATTTTTATCGATGAGCTGACAGAAGAAAGAGGGAGTGCACGATCTTTGCGCGACAACTTGATACTTGAGAATGGCAGGCCCACGATTTTATTCATAGCCTCTTTTCCAATTCGAAGAGCATCGTAGCAATTAATTGTGGCATCTCCTACCACCCCACTTGCAATTGATATAATTTCACTGGTTTGTGGAAAAGGAGGGTATGAATCAAACCACTGACTGAGTTTGGCAATATCTGCTGTATCCCTACTCCGGCGGGCTTGTCCGAAGTCCTTGTGCTGTTCACTTGACGTGAAAAAGAACTCCACAAAAACTCTTCTGGCAGTTACCAAATCTCGAGTTGCGTCTTCATACCAATAACCACTTTTTGCGAGTAATAATTATGTGAAACACCTCTTCCTGCTGTTATGCCTCCTCGAATGATCTCATCAATGCTCAGCTGGTCATATCCGACCACACGCCTGACCAAAAGCGATCAGAGCGCTTCATGGTAAAGTAGCCACTGGTGGTAAATTTGAGGTATTGTTCAGGTGTCAACGTGGATGATAAATTCTCCATATCCTGAACATATAACTGGCAGGACTATGCGTAGGGGAAGTGTCCAGATGCATGAAAGTATGGTATCATCTTTTTTACACAGTTCAGGTGTGCATCCCAATCACCGGATCTTTCTGCATGTATGTACTCTTTGACGAGATAAACCATCTTAAAATACTGGATCCATAGCTGAGCTGTGGGTCCATTGGCTTTAAGCTGTTCCAACGTCTCACCATATTTCTCGGCCAACTTCTTGATGGTTTTATTTCCATTTAAGGCATTCAATGCCGGAGGCTCATCAAGGAAACCAGATAAAATTTCCGTGACAGCAGATTTTTCTTCTACTGTAAGTTGGAGTTGGTCAAGTATTTTGTTTGATAATGCCGTTGTTGCTAGAAAGTGTCCCCTCACTGCTATTGCAAACGCGTGACCCTGAAGCATTTTGTCAACAGATAGAGGAGCGTAGACGATACATAAAAGTTCCTTTAAGCCGCTTCCAGCCATGAAATATCCTATGCTGCCCAAAAAGGACATCAGCAAATGGAACCCACCGAGGCGCACTACACAGTTGGATATCTGAGAATCAAGAGGTTCTGCAGCGACTATTTCTCGCGCTTTCCAGTATAGTGGCTGGCCAAAGGTGACTATTAGTTTTTTGTGAGTTTTCTTTCCTGTTGGATCAATTTGCTGGCATAGTGCAAGGCCGTGTAGACCGTGTCGTAATTTGAGGGCGGCGCATTGATTAACGGTAGGGTTATCACTCTAGTCTTTTCGCTGAAATCCCCTGTTGTTATGGTAGTCATATACCCTTTCCATTCTGGCAGGGGGATGTCAAGTTGTTTTGCAATAAACCAGAGGGTGTCGAATGGTTGAGGGTAAACCATTTCTTCGGGTACGTCAATCCGTCTGACTACTATGCTTTCTAAACTAGCTCCCTTCTGAAAGGATTGCAGTGGAACAATGCCAAGTTCTCCAATATCATGTGACGACGGCATGTGATTTAGTCTTGGCATGTCTTCACCTTTTTCAAGCGAATTAGAAGGGGTAATACACCTGATTCCACCCATGGCATGAAGAGTGTTAAGACCATCAATAGTACAAACATTAAAGTCAACATTGTCAAATACAAACTGATTGAAAGCCCCCATCTTGAAACCTGGTTTAGCAGAGTAAATTGCAGAAATTTCCAACTTTTGAGCCTCGTGGTATGATGCGCAGAAGCCCAAACTGGCAAGGAGGTCAATCAAGTGCTTCGAAGCGTACTTTCTGTACAAGAGCAATAAGAGGCTGCACAATAGGGGCGATAAGAAGCTCCTTGGTCTGATAATCGCAATAATGGCATTTCCCAGGGCAACACATTTTCTTTTAGTTTCTTCTACTCTCTTTGTCTTTCCCAATAGAAGTCCCTCAATAAAAAAGGTTAGAGATTGAGGCAGTGTACCTGGATCCTTTAGGAAGTCGTCGCTGGGTGGATATGTGTCTGTGTTGTATACTTGACTTTGAATGTCTTGACGTAAAATTTCTATAGCTTTAGCAACAATCCTCAACCTCTCCTCTTCTTCATTTTTGACCCCTATTTTCGTAC